CGCCATCGAATAAAATTGTAGATGTTACTTTTGTAAATCATCGTTAAAGGAAGAGTTTAAGTTTGTTTAATTTAATGACGGAATAAAAAGCTGGTTCATGATTGCAAATCATTTTGGAGGTTTTATTTATCACGATTAGGAGTAAGCAAATCTATTGGGCCACTGACTTAACGATGAATTTTAAGGTAGTGCAACGGTGCGGCATGTTGATTACTTGCCTTAACGGCTCGTAATTAACAAGGGTTTTGTAACTGACGAGGATTTCCCGTGTTCTCCTCCGCATCCTCTTCCCTCTATATAAATTCCCCAAGCCTTAGTCTCCTCTCTTTGCAGCATTAGACTTACATTCACTCCCAGTCTATTGAATAACACCTTTTCGCTCGGACACGCTTGGTTCTGTGCTCGACCTATCTCTGTCACTACTTTAGAAGACGCGTGAGCAGACCGTCATGAACATATGCAGCCCACGTCCAAAGGGATCGGTTTTCCTAGCCAATCAGAGACCGCTTACCTTGTCCCTAGTTCGTCAAAAGCTTTCATTGCCCGAACTTCAATATAAAAAGGTCTTACAGAATTTGTATTTACATCCTTTATTACCGAAGATGATGGGAAGAATATAGCCTTTTAAGGCTATAATTTACGAAATCTCCGCGGGCCTTGTCGTGAAAAAGTACACATCCCTAAATTTAACAATCACAACTTTCGTAGTAAGTGAGATAAGTAATTCAGTTTATTTTCTCGATTTCTTAGTTTACAGCAAGAACAATAGTATGATACTTGATGCATTCAGGGGCATTAATAACACTCGCTGAAGAAACACGTAAAGATATGATCTAACGTTTTGCCAGCCGGGACATCGAGCCCCCGTCACACTTACACATGCGCACGCGAAATTCTATTCTAAACAGAGTCCTACACAACAGAATCTGATGCATTTTTGTTTCGCCGGATATTTTTGTAATGATGTCATTTACAAAGAAGCATAAATCTACCATTCTCACAGCGCTGAAGTTGTCGGGCGCTTTGAACTCTTCTTTTTAACCTGTCTTCTAAGGATTGCCCGATACGCTTTTCCGATGCAACGTTCTTCAGATCCTCTTTCAAGTCGTTGCCTTTACTTACATCTGAAAACTCACGCAACTGCTTAGCGTCCATGCCCAGCAACAGGACGAGAATAAGAGACAATAGACAAAGTAGCCTGGAACGAACCAACATCCTATCTTTTCGGTGTTTGGCCAAATTGACGAGATTCACTGCTTTGTTGTTCGATTCTAACAAACAAAATGCACCAAAAGAAATTATCTCAAGTTTAGTATTATCCATTCCGCAGTGCGAATAACAGCAGTTTGACACAGAAAAAAAAGATCTCAGATCAAAATTAATTTAAAAAATTTCATCATGACAAGTACATAAAAAGCAGCCAAGAATTGCGGATTCCAAACAATGATGTATGGTTTTGAGATTATGTGAGGAAATTATTTCAAAATGTCAACAAATGAAAATATAATTTTATTTTATGCACTCAGTCAATCATCAAGCAATATCAACTGCGTTGGCAACGTAACTGGGCCACCCTAAAGAGTTTCAAAGCTGACGTTTCGAGCGTTGGCCCTTTGTCAGGGCGAATGACGAAGGGCTCGAAACGCTCGAACGTCGGCTTTGGAACTCTTTACAGTGGTCGATTTATTTTGTCGACTCGGTTCATAATACTAAACTTCCCTGTTATACTCTGACGCAGCACCACAGTGTCTTGAGAAACTTTCTCTCTAAGTTGAACTTACCCCCTTCATAAACTGATTAAGAGTCTCATTGAGGACGAGAACACGTCAAACGTTCGATAGCCCAATACAACGAAGATCAAAAGAAATATCACATTTGTAATTATCACTTCCATGTGATGGTAATTAAGGTGATCACAGAACCGATTTAGAGTGCCGATAAATTTAAATTTGTCGTGGAGCTCGAAGTAGAACTGTCGCCGGTTATGATATATACATGTTATTTGCCGGCTGGGAGGTCCGTATGGTGAAAAACTGTGAACGAGGTCTTGAAAATACAGCATTTCCAAGACCGAGGTCACAGTTTTTCACCATACGGACCGATCCTTAGCCGGTAAATAACATATTTATTTTTTTAAACTTGACTTAAACTTTTAAACATTTTCATTTGCGTAACGATGAAGGTCATTTAAAAGGCTTCCAAACAAACTTTGAAACATTATTTTTACAAGTATCTGTCACAATCTGACACCTGTCAATTAGAGAGCGCGTAAGAAAAGAAAAAGCGCAAGAACATTTGAAAAACAACGAAACTAGTTTGGCAAGAACTGTCACACGTGCCAATGTTTTCTTCAAAAACACTCAATGATCTAACGGAAAGTATTATTCACTCTCAT